AAATCTGGAGTCTTTCCAGGAATAGTGCCTGAGTTATCGTGTGGTGGGAACGCATTTGAACTCCTTATGCCCTGAAACAAAACAAGGACAACATTGTCCTAGTTAAATAATCAGAAGCAGCTGGGAAAATGGTCTTGGGATTCTTTCAGAGTTTTTACCTCTGGGGTAGTAAGCCCCGTCATCCTATAAGGCAATTGTTTTGGAAAGTTAGGAGTCACTAAGCAGGGGGACTTGACTTATAGCCATAAGCTATGTGCTGGAGGACCTCCCACTGACATCAATGGGAGCTGCACGCACAAAGGCAGAGCAGTACATGGCCACTGAAGTAAAGGGATCATCTCATTCCTAACTTATTTGGCCTACACAGGGCTTCAGTAGTGTCAGTGGATGTGGCAGGTATCAAAGTACCTTATAAGTACTTATACCATATATAGCCCTCCTTACCATCCTAGCATTTTGAAGGAACAACTTTGTGGTCTTCAGAGTGACTGCTCAAAGCAGCAAATGTTTCAAAACATGCCTATGGTTTAGCCAGTCTAACCTACAACATCTTGAAATTGTTAACAGCTTGTTGAATTTCTTTAAGGAAATACAGAGTGCATAAATTATTTGATGACTATTCCTGGGTGTTGTCAGTATGATGGAATTTTCAATTTTAAAAACAAAGCAAACCAAAAAGAGGAGAGAACACCTCAGACATGGCACATCTAAACTCTTTTGCCACTTAAGACAATGACATTTTATAGGTTGGAAGGAGAGGAGTAACAGAACAGAACTTGATGCACAACCCTGAGGTTCTGATTTCTTCATGAAGTGAGATGATATACAGGAAACAGTGATCCAGTGCAGTTGTACTGAAACTTAAAAATACAAATATTCGTTGTTTGTGATATATATCAAACACAAAGAGGACAAAGAGCAGCAGCTTTATGTTTTGCACTTTGATATCCTCAAGAAATTTAGAGACTTAGAAGAAAAAAGCAAATTTACACTGTGAGATTCAGAGTGGATATAGGCTTCCTGAAGATGAGGAATTTTCAGTATATCCCCATCCATCTACCTGTGAAGAGGCTGGTAAAGCATCTGGAAACCATGTACACTCCTCAAGGGATGTGCAATGTTTTTAAACAATGGGGAGATGCAGCTATCCCATAGCTATCAATGACCAGGGAGGCAGAAAAGTGTGCTACCTACATGAAAGAGTGAGTAATGCACAGGAAGGGCCTAGTGCTCTAGGCCAGGCTCAGGAGTGTGGCAGAAGACAAAGCATAGCTCCTCTGTCAGCATGGAGGGTGGGATCAAAGCAGCATCTAATGCTGTCATCAGATTCAAATCCAAAAGATGGTTCTGTAGGAGGAAGGAAAATAAAATTGAGTTTTGAAACTGTCTTCTCATGTAATTCTTTTTTTCTATTTTTTTTCCTGCTGGTCAGTTAGTAATTTATTTGAAATAATCCTGAGTATAAGCATTTCCTAGTCTTAAAGGAGTTACAATACACTGAAGTACAATTGGAAGAGGATGTGCCATACTGACTTTGCAGCCCTTTGAGGTAGGGACTAGGTGCTCTTCTCATCCATCTAAAGTTATTGAGATTATATTTCTTGATGATTGTTTGCAGTGGTTATAAAATTTCAGCTCTCTATTTGCTTTACCATACAATACCACAAACCAGTTTTGTTCATGACAAGTCTGTATTTACACACCTTACGTTTGCTCAGCACTCTAAAGCAACAGCACAAAACCAAGCAGCTACTGCATTTATTATACTCTCCAAGTGGTTCAAGTCAGTCAGCTTTTGGCCTTGAGCCATAACAGAACTGGCTGCCTTCAGAAGAAGCCACCCCAAGTGCAGAGCTTGCCATCATATCATGATGGTAACGAACGTGTGCAGGGCAGTGAGGTGTCAGTGGAGAAACAGGAGAGTGCACTGAAGTTTTCCATAAAGAGTGTTGAAAAGCCTAACAAACCAGATGGATTTTTTACAGTTACTCTGTCTCAATCCTTTTTGTTTCATAATACAAAAGCATCACCTAGACAAAAAAATAGGCTCAAAAAATGCATGTAATTAAGTATCAGAGTTGAAAGAATGCTGATGGGGAATCTCTCCTGCTCTGTTAACTGGCAATGCCAATACTTGATTAATAATGCAATCTGATTAGAGATGATAATATGCTTTAGTTTCGTTGCCTTCTACAGCTGTGCACTACCACCATCTGAAGAAGTTTTAAAAGTGTGTGTATATAATCCTCCACCCAGAACCTTCCAACAAACAAAACAGCCTTCCTATAAAACGACTTTGCAATTAAATATCCATTGACTGGAAAGTTTAAAACTGAGTTAATTCAAACATTTTTTAAATTGGCATCCTCAAAACTTTTCAATTCTGTTTAGTAAACTGTTGTTGCCCTCTAGTGTTCAAACACAGCTCGTAAATGCCCCTCCAGAAAGATCCAAACTGGTCCCCTAACAGTTCCCCATTCGTTGTTAATCTAACAAGATAAATAGATGGCAAAGATAAATGTTTCAGTATACCTGCCTAATAGCTACATTTTATGTTTGAGCATTAAAAAAAAAGAAAAGGGTTTTTAAAATAAGAGCATTTAAAGCTGTTTGTTTCATTCAAAAATGGGAAAGGCCACTCAGCTTGGCACCCTCACCAGATTAGTCCTGGAACCTGTGCACCTCTCTGCTTTCCTCCTGCCATTCACTGGGCTAGACAGACATTGCTGTTTGGGTTGGAGACCAGTGTTTCTATTAGCCAAAGATGTGTCCAGTGCCCTGAACAACCCTGAGATGTCTGCCAGCCTCTCTTAAATGTATCTCTACTGCGCTGTACCATATCACTTAATACCAACCATATCTCCCTCCAACAAATTAGTTATTGCAGCAGAAATGCACAGGGAGTATTCGTGGGTTGCTCTCAGCAACTCTCCTGCAATAAGCTGCCACGATGGTATCAACAAGGTAGGCTTCTTATGAAGTTGTAGCTCTTTTGGGAGAGAATTACTGTCAGCCTCAGACCTGCACGTGCATTTTTATAGCCCATAACTGGGCCTAGAACATATAATTTTATTAACTCTTTCCAGAAATGTTCCCCTTGTCACATTCCTTGACCAGAAACCTTTGAAAATAGCTATTTAGAGAGAAAAAAAAACAAACCAAACCAACCCAACCTTAAGGTTAAACAAAGTGCAGTCAACAGACAAGTTGATGAACTTGAGATGCTTTTCCTTTGTAATTTTGTTCAAGAGGTTGCCCTGAATGTTTTTCATTGAAGCATTGTCAGACTTAAGCAATGTAGGAGACGAGCTGGTTTTGCATCCATAAAGCAGTCAGCAGCCCCCACATAGTAAGAATTCCACTTCTTGAAATAAGGAAAACTGACATCTATCTGATCTTTGAACAATGGAATTTTCAGAGAATTTTCTGCATGAAGTTATTGTTAGAGCTCTCAGATTGCCTTGAAGCCATTTTTGGATCACACCCACTTCCCATCACACTAAGTTTGACAAGTCTAAGAACATCTTGAATGCAAGTCATGTTTCATATTTTGTAGTAGAACCACTTCCTTGTAGTCATGAGGCTCCTCTCCTTCTCTGTCTTGATGTTTATTGTTAATTATGCTGCCTGACACATGGATTCTTTGAAATCCAGTCTTTCATTCTAAAAGCAGGTGTAGACTGGGTGTATGTGAAGGGAAGGGTGAATAACACGAACTGGAAGCTGTGCAGCAAGCAGCAGATTCTGACTAACTCTCACTCATCCCTTGTTGCAGAGGTGGGGTACCATATGGAGCAGCTATGCTGATTCCCAGTCACAAGAAGATGACCCTAGCAGTGAAGAGGGTGTGCTTTGAGAGCCAGTAAGAGCTCTGCAGTCAGGAGGGACAGCAAGACAAGCACTGCTCCAAGCTGCTCCTTCAAGAGCTGCCACCCTACTGAGGGAAGTAGAACCCTAGAAGCAAGATAATGCAACCACATTCCTCTGCTCGTCCGGCGAAAACGCCCCTGAGGTGGGCACCCTCCTACAGCATAGCCACCATTTTCCTTTAAAACTTTTTTACCTCCCTTTAGTTGTTCAGCAAATGGAGAGCACACTTTGTGTCTTCTGCCAGTAATACAGCTGTTGTCTTTGCCAGGCCCCCTCCTACGTTTTGTGCTGCTCTGAAATCAAGTGTTGAACCTCAGCTGTTAGGGATTCAGGTGTATGAGACCAGATTCTCTCCTATGCATATGCCAAATCACTTGGTCACACTGTTTGTTACTAAAGAGCTTAATTGCAGCCTGCTTTACTTTGAGATGATAACAACTCTTTCTCTCTGATACATACTGCTAAAACACAGCATGCTACAGGGTGGCAGACTCTTCAGAAAAGGCAAACTCACATTTGCAACGTGAGGTTTTAAGGATACCTTGTGGTGTATACAGAAAAAAACCATTAAAATATATATGTATCTAGAAACTGTATGTAGCTAAGGAGAATCAAGCTGTGTTACGTGTACTATACTTGTTACTGTTTGTACTGAAAACCATTTGGATGCAAAGCTCTACTACTAGACACTCCTTTAAGGCTACAGATAGAATAAATAGGATTGCCAGACAATCATGACATTTGGTACAAATAGCAGTGAAATACAGCAACTGAAAACACTCATGTGCTGCACAGGTACTCAATTTATCAAGTGTACTTCTATTCCACTAATCTAGTCACAGTGCAGATTGAGTTCTTGAAATGCTTTTTCTCCTTAAATACAAGACCTCCGTAGCTTAACTTGGATTTGAGTGTTTATTTTCAGGATTTAGTAATAAATCAACCATGATAGACATCACAGTTCAGCATAGAAAGAGCAGTTCCTTTCCCCACCAAAGCCATCTGCCACTTCTGCATTAGTGGCAAAAAATGGAATCCATCCTCTTCTGGGATTTCAGTAGCTCCTGTTCAGTTTCAGAGCCGTCCTCTCAAAGATAAGAGATGCTCCTCAATCTTACTCCCTCTCCCCATCACACATCAGTATACATTCCATCAATCAAGTAACCCAGCCTGGTATAATGCCTCTTCTGAAGAGATTCATGTATTTTCTTCCCTGTCAGGGCAATAACAAGCAATAAGAATATTATCCCAAAAAGCAAAGCTGCTACAAGGCTGCTTTTTTCTGCCAGCTGAATGACACCTTTTCCTCTCAGAATATTCCCTGGCAGGTAGCTTTCTGAATCAGATGGGTCATAACCCTCAGGGTCATTTTGGGAAGCCATGGAGGAGTCATTAGTAAACAGAGTGAAACCTGAAAAAGAGAGGAGAGTAACCTGGCTGGTGTGGTTGGAAGAGATAACTGTTGGCTCAGGAGGGATGTCTGGAGTTCTTAGCCCTGATGGCACAGTAGCAGATTTGGAATTCACGGTCACCTGCTTGGTTGTAAAAGCAGAAGTGGGACTGGAAAGAGGAACATGAGTAACAGTGATGCTGGTGGCAGGGACACCAGGTTTAGCTCTAGTGGTCACAAGAGGTGGAAAGGTAGCTGCTGTGGTGGTGACAGCAGCAGGATTAACACCACCAATAGACATAGAGGTTGTATGAGATTCCAGTTGGGTGGTACTTGTAGACAGAGGAGCAGAGGTAGTACTGCTGGGTTCAGGAACACTAGACTGAGTGGTGGGGAACAAAGCAGAGAGGTTTCCAACAGCAGAAGATGCATTTGGCAGCAGGTTAGTTACTTTCTGCCCTGAGATAGGATCTAAGCTCTCAGGATGTTTTGCCCTTTGAGATTCAGGAAAAACTGTATGAAATTGAGTGTTGCCTAGATGCTTGCCAGCGTGGCTCTGGTGTTCAGGTGCCTGATGAAAGACAGATTGCTGCAAACCAGCAGCATGATTCTGGTGGCCAGTTTGTCTGTGAGAAAGAAAGGCTCCAGCACTGGAAGACAAAGAATATCCATCTGAAGAAAAGTCTTCACTCTTGAAGGGTATATCCTCTGAGGCATGAGTGTCTGGAAATAGAAATTAAATACCAGTCTTTAATTATTAAATCTGTTTTTATTTACCACAGGCTTACTCTATTCATATTTCTTAGGAGAGATATAAGTGGGCTCCAGAAAACTGTCACTAATGAAACTGAAACATCATGATCTTCTTTTCTTTCAGATATATAGAGTGACTTTTAAATTCTGTGTCATAAGACCTGTCAGCCTCAAGCCTAAGCACGTGACTGACTGCAGCTTCTTATAGAATTTACCTGTGCAGAGCAATCTTCCCCATCTGATTGTTTTACACTCATATTGCATGCATTTAAGTGTTGATTTAGAGGTGAAAAGCAATGTGAGCAGGCCCATTGCCTTCAAATCATTCTCAGCCTCTGTCAGTTAAGAAGTAGGTATCACCAACCTCGCTTCCATTTGTCAGATGTACACATCTTCCACCTAGCCAAGAGGATGATATGCTCCCCTTTCTTCTAAAATTCAAGCACCCTGTGATTGCTTAACCCAATTCAAATAACACACAAAAATTGCCTTATGATACAAGGTGGGAATAATATCCCCCTTTTATAGGTTGTTTGATATGCATGCTGATTAGTAGGAAAGACCCGAGTTCCTAATATCATGTTAGAAGAAAGACACTGCTTCAGAAGTCTCAGAGGTGTTTACAGTGAAGATCTCCATGAGTAGACCACACTTCATAACTTCTGCAGAAGTTGATATGTATTCCTTGCAAAACAAGTGGGTGAATGTCCATAATAGAATTTATTAGCAGGACAACAGTGTTATGTGACAGAAACTCCATAGAAATTATAATTGTAGCAGCTACCTAATCCTACACAAGTATTATAGAAAGACTTAGGATGAGCATGAGCTCTGGGAAATTCTACCTAATTATTACCATTCAGATTTTTATACAGAAATATGTGTAAATTTTATAATTATGATAGATATAATCATTCAGCTGCCATACAGAACATTTAAAAGGGAACATGCTCTCAAGTAGTTCTGACTCACACTCATCTCTTTTTTCACAAAAAAAAAAAAAAAAAAAGTTGCTATCAGCACTGGAATTCAAATAAACAACAAGAAGTCCATGACATTTTCACTGTCACTTCTTTCTCAGCTAGGAGCCCATATCGAGAGGAATGGATTTATTTCAGTGTTATTATGCATACAAATAGCCTAGCTGACTGCTGGTCTGCTATATATTTTCAAGTGTTAAGACTCCACTAAAAAACAAGCCAAACCAAAACCAACAAACAAAAAAACTGGCAATGCTTTAAACAAGAGCACAACAACTACTTTAGAAACCAAACCTCTGGTTGTCACTCTTAAAAAACAAGCTCAACACCTCCTGAGCATACTTTGCTAGAACCTGGGTATCTTAGTGGGGTAGAAAACACAAGAGCCACAAAAGAACACTAACAGCAGCAATAAGAAATGTTATTTCTTTTTTAGCAATAGCTCTCTGCAGCAGGGACCAGGAAACATTTTACTTCCCAAGCCATAAGATGCTTCCATTAATTAGCAGCCACAGGAATAATTGAAGAAAGAAAAAAAATCATTAGTAACATACCATCAGTATTTTAAGTTGCTTCATTACTAATAGAGTATCTTTCTCTCTTTTAGTTTGGTTTTCAGTGTAACCACATGCAGGTTCTCATATGGAAAAATGAAGCTTGAAACGTTTGTCAGAACCAACACTGCTCAGATGCTACCTTTGAAAACTTGTTAGGCACATAAGGTAAATAAGCTAGCATAATTTTTCCATAATTCAAACTTCACAGAAGCTAAAAAATGCAAAATTAAAAAGAGATGGTATATGTAATCTGATTGTTAACCAAGCATTACACTACATGCAGGACAAAAGCACAAGCACAATTACAGGTCTTGTTTCTTTGTTTGAAAGCCCTATATTCTTCTAGAGGAGGAAGAGCTGGAGAAAGGAATAGTTCTAGTGATCATTTTAGAGGCATGCAATTCATTTGTTGCACATTGCTTTTGCCCAATTCCTGTGTGATTGTGCTTGCAGGAAAGTGTTTGGTAACATTGTATGAATACTCTTTCTACATATCCTGCTGTTGCTCCTTGCATAGTTCCTCTTGGAAAAGTTCTTTTCAGCAAAAGTTTAGCCTCCAGAAACACAAAATTTCTGCTCTCTTAAGCAGCCCCACTGAAACCACCTTGGGAACTGTTGGCAGGAAGACAGTCTAATTATTGGTTTCTTATCTGAACCATTTAAAGAGGTCTGGTGCAAGTCAACATCAGTCAACAAGCAAGACTTGCTATTAAAAATCCCACAGTACATGACAGATAGCAAAAAATTTCTGAGCGTGCAGCCCACATGCCACAGAGTTTTCAGTTTGATCAGTCTGCATCTGTGCTTCAGATTCCCCAAACTGAAGGCAGAAAATAATTACTATTGTCAAGTACTTGGTAACATCACAGTGGTGCTCTAAGGCTTGCCCAGCATTTGCTGTGTTTCTGCCTGTGTGTATATGGTATTCCTCAGTGTGCCATGGATATTTGGAATACTCAGAGGGCTACTAGGGCATCATATTTCTGTTGCTCTCAGAGATACTCTTCAGCATTATGTACAGGATATTTTCCTTCTTGAATACACCAAGATGGAAGCAACTTCTTTTTGTTTTAAGCAAGGGAAAATTATGAGGAGTTCTGAATCTAATGTGAAGGAATTCCCTAAGGTCAGGATATTATTCCAGCCAGGAAGCTGGGCCCACACAGGAGCTCATCACCCACCTGCCCATCCATCTTCCCCAAAGCAAAAGAGCAGCATTTTCAAGTTACAGTGCTTGGCTTAGAACATTTTACTAAAAACACAAGCCCTAAACATTTTCTGGTCATCACTGACAACTCACTAGTGTGAGGACTGGTGGCTTTTACTGTCATTTACCTCTGGTTATCTTGTAGCTCACAAGTCCTGTTGCAGGCTTCATTGGACAAGCCTCTGTGCTAGGGCAGTAGAACAGGTAGCAGTTGGGCTGCGTGCTTGTCCTTCGATCATCAAAAATCATCAAATTACACTCCTTGTCTCCTGCAAAACATGATAAATACATGAGTCAGCAATAAGAACTTTTATACCATTTTGACAATGAGCTCTAGTTTGTTAAATTAATGTTTCCTTGTGTGAATAGGAGGAAAACTACTAACACACAACATTCCTACAGGAAGACCAACCCAGGACTGCAAAAGAATGGCCCAGGGCCAATATAAAAAAGGTCACACCTTCCTCATCCTGTACAGATGAGCTTGGGGAAATAACGAGTCTAATCCCTCATCCTCCCCTCACCCGTACCACACCAGCACCACTTTATACAATAACTTCTCACTTACAAATTCTGACAAATCTGAAAACCTTGATATCTCACCGGGAAGGAAATTATTTATACGCTTTTCCCTAACACATCCTAGGAAGCACTTGGCTTGTAGCTGCTGGGAGGGTCGCCTTTACTACTGTCATTTCTACCTTTTACTTCTCCAAAGAGCTTGAAGCAAAGGAGTGGCCTCAGAGATGGGTAAGCGGTCTCCTTTTTGGCTCAAACGAAACGTAGCAGCACTCAGAGAAAGCAGCACTCGACTACCACGCGAGCCCAAACTTGAGCAGTAGTTTCCCAAACGCTCCTACGTGCTCGGGGAAGGAGCGAGGAGGAGCCGGTTACCTGAGAGCTGCCGCCCCGCGCAGCAGGCGCGCAGACAAGCCTCGGCCGTCGGGGCGTACGCGGGCTCCGAGCCCCTGACGCCTCTGGGCAGGGATAAGTCTATATCGATGATGGCATTTTCCATCTTCTCCGCCGAGCACTCCTGACCCAGCGACGGTCCGGCCATCGCGCAGGTGATC